ATACTACCTAGAATATGCCCATATACCCATCACCCAGCTTTTCCTGAGATGACAAGTCACATGACTGCAGCACATCCTCCAACCCAGGAAATGGACATGAACTCAATACTGCTAACTAGACTAAGGGCCTTAGATCGTGGCAGTTTTCACAGGCACTAATTTTTTGTGTGAATGTACGTCTATAATTTTATGGCATCTCATGCCATCCCATTACAAATTCATATGACTCCCTACACCTCCCTAATCAAGGTCACAGTGTGTTTCCAAAAGTCTGTGGGTATTTAAACCAATTTGGTAAAATAAGTCACAAAAAAAGAGTAAAAAGTAGATGTCACTACAACAACATGACAGAAGGCTCGATGCTCAACATGACTGCTAACTCTTTAGTGCATTCCTAGGGACATTTTCTCATTTACTTTGGAAAAGCATTATTTTCGTGAACATCTGCCCTGTGAGCCCAGGAATTTATTAAGTCCCCACTGTTTAGCAAACATTTCAGGCAGGATGGGCAGACAGGCTTCAGCTCACACACGTCCCTTATTGAATTATACCGGCTGCCTACAGGGCATAAGGAGGAGGATCCGGAGGCCACCTCTGGGCTTACAGAGAGAGACAGCCACCGTGTCACAGAATTGCTCTGTCACAGGGGAGTGGCAGCTGGGCGCATGCCAGAAATCTGCCATCCCCAAAGTTTCTGTGACTTTGTGAGCCACATGGGGTCTGGGGACTGGGCAAAAGTGATAAAGAGGCACAACCCCTGTCCCCAAGGAGTCATCGTTGGGATGGGGAGGTGCGCATGCTGACCCAAGCCTGTGACACAGGATTCTGTGCATGCGAGGCTCACGCACAGACAGCCCCCCTGGTCTGCTCCAGGGAGCCAAAGAAGGGCAGCAACTTGGGCAGGGTGTGAGATCTGCGTGCTATGGAGACCACCAAAGGATAGCTGGCTGGTTCGGGGACGGGGCAAATCCAGGGTCAGAGAGAAACAAGAGTCTACCAGCTGCTCATCAGTCACTTTGTGACCTAGATTAGAAGCCAGATTCTGGGGCCTGACTGCCTGGGTTCAAATCCTACCAAAGACTTTTAGTCTCTGCCATTAGCCAAGCATCAAACAAGCATGATAATAATGCACACACCATAGGGATTAAAGGAGTTAACAAATACACAGAGTATTTTAAACAGTACCCAGTGTTTAGCAAACACCATGTTGGCAAATGCCATTGCTAATATACTTTTTTACAGTCTGCGGTACTGAAAACTTTTAAATATATTCTTTTTATCATCAGAAAAATGAACAGAGATTAATAAAGGAAATGCTACGATTTCTAAACTGAACCACGAATCTGCAGAAATGGGCATCAAATGGAACATTTGGGAATAATTTGGGTTCCTAAAGTTGCTTGGCCTCTGTAGGGGTTCTCCAATCCCTTTCTTCCATCTACTTTCACTGCCTTCCTTCACTCCCTTTCCCCCCACGAGCCTCTCCTTCTCATCACTGTCTTCCAGCCCTGCCTGCACACTGGACCCCCAATCCTTTGCTCACAATCTTCCTACCCTGAGTTCCTCCACCCCATGGTCCCCTTTTCCATCCTAGCTCACTTCCCATTTCCTCTGTCAATACCCTCTCGGCCTGGTAGTGCACAAGTCTCTCTCCAGCCCACATATCCGCAGCACTGACAGTATAGACCCAGCTCTGGTTGGAAGGTCTCCCCTAAAGACAATTGCTGGAAACTTAATCCCCAACACAACGGGGCCCAGAAGAGGTGACTGCCCTTAGGTATGAATCAATGTTATTATTACAGCAGTGGGTTTGTTATAAAAGCAAGTTTGTCCTCACCCAGTGTGGCCCCTTGATCTTGAACTGCCCAGCCTGCAGAACTGTGAGCCAAATAACTTTCTGTTGTTTATAAATTACCCAGTCCATAGTATTCTATTATAGCAACACAAAACAGACTAAGACACACCTGATTCAATTGATACTAGGTCTCCTATGTCTCAGAGCAGCTATTACTGTATTATTTTTTACTACCCTTTTGTATAACTCATGAAATATTATGTGAAATTTCTGTGGATAATAAGTCAGGCAAAAAGGATTAATTTTTAATTGTGAGACTGCCAGATCTTTTCTCTGGAAATTATACGGTGGGCTTCTTGAATGTGGAACAGTATTTTAAGTGTCCTTGTTTCCCATGGACTCAACTGGTACGAGGCACACACTGAGTCCAACTCATTTTTTAGTTCAGTGGAATGGCCAAAGGTTATAGCATATCTGAGGTCTCAGGGATGGTAGATGGTCCCCGCTGTACAATGGGTGCATCTACTGACTATTCAACTGTAGAATGGTGTGAACGTGCACCCACACAACCACTTGATTTTTCACTTTCAGTACAGTGTTTAATATGTTATACGAAGTAGTCAATACTTTACTATAATGCTTTGTGGCAGATGATTTTGTCCACATACTGGTGGGCTAATCCAAGTGTTTTACAGAGGTTTAAGGTAGGCCAGGGTTAAGATAAGGTATAATGCTTGATCAGTTAGGCATATTAAGTACAGTTCTGATGTGATATCTTCAATTTATGGTGGGTTTATTGGGACATCGTCCACGGTGAATCAAAAAGCACGTATACTCTGCATGACCTGCAGCTCAGGAAAAGGTGCATTTTACCACATGACCATCAGAGCTGAACACAGTGGCACAGACCTGGATGTCAGCATCAACACTTTTGTCTTCCCAGTTTCTTCTCCTTATTCATTTAACAAAAACCTAATACATGCTTACCGTTCCTGCCTTGGCCGGAGCCTGGCATTTACCCAATCTTATTTAGCTAACTACAATGTCCTAGGCGGACATCCTGTTTGGAGAGGTTAACTACCTTGGCCAAGTTGCAGTTACCAAAGCGCAGGCCTGGGATTTGGACCCTGCAGGGACACGGAGTCTTAGTTCTGGTCACTTAGTCAGCGGTGTCTCTGGTGCCAAGTGTCCACCTGAGAGAGGCACGAATTAGCGAATGACCCAAAGGTCTGTAGTTTTGGAGAGCACAACAGAACCACTGCGGACCATGCAGAGGCGTAAGCCAGTGCCACTGGCATTTTGTTGAGGAGGTATCAGTGCAATTCAAAGTTGATATGGCCTAAGTGTCTGAAGCTTTCCGGAGGGCAGAGTTGAGCTTAATCATCTATCAGTCACTGATGTCCTGAAAGAGGTGCCAACCTCTTTCTTCTTCCGTGTAATCCACATGTCCAATGCTTTTGCAACTGAAGAACGACACAGGGATTCCCAGGTTGAGGAGGCCCCGAGAGCTGCCCTCTGACCTTCCTCCCCTCCAAGGGGTTTGGCTACTGCACTAATGGGGACATAAGTGTCTGCTGACTATGACCCAATAAACACTTAAATGTGCTAATCTTGTCAAGACCCAACGCAGAGTGTATTAATCAGCAGAGGGAAATATGCGACGGCCTAAGACTAATTTCAAGACAAATGACATTAAAAAGACACAAGGCCAAGTCTGAGAGAGTAGGAGCTCACAGTCCTCTTCTTTCCTAGCTCTCAGATAGTTTTGTAACAACCACCAGCTCCCTCTGCTGACCCAGGAGAGTGGGGCCAATGTACTCTGTAATAATAGAGCCAGGCCAGGTCTGTGACAACAGTCCCAGCCATTGCCGTGGGTCACGCAGGGCTGGTGGAAACCGTTCTTGCTGAGTATCCATCTATGAAAGACACCAACCCCCGCCAAAGCCTCTTCCAGAAGGAGTTAAGGATGCCACAACCATCTAATTCCCCACATGTTCCGGGTACTCATCTCTAAGTGTAAGGACAGAAAAAGGAATTTTAACGAAGTCTCATGTTGTAGCAGTAGCAAGACAGTGTCTTCAGCATTTTCTTGGTTATTCTACTAAGAGGCTGCTTCAATTAATGGAGCTGTAATTCAACATTTCTACATCTTTGAAAGCGCCATTGAGAAAGGCCCAGCAGCTATAAGATTTGAATGGAGGGAGAGGCCAAGAGGGTACTACTGCTAATTTTTAATCTTTCTCATTCTCTTTTAATTGGGGGTTCTTGTATGTTCACAGTCAGAATCAGGACTACTTGCAAAATCTTTCCCCCCGAGGGTGATCTTGGCAGTGCTGCCATCTGCGCAGATCCACGCACCGGAGAATAGTGCTTGGTGACAGGCGGCTGTCCCTCAGTGGTGGCATGAATTGTGGCTTGGTCACATGAATTGTGGCCTGGCTCAAGTAGGGAGCCACAAGAGGACTCCTGGCCCCAGTGCCCAGCAGTGGGCATGGCACTTTACTGGTCAGAAGAGCAGAGGGCGTGTCCCCTGCTGTCTCCCGCCACCAAGCAGCTCCTGCCCCTCCTGTCCTAGGAGGAGGCACTGAGCTGGAGGAAGCCCACAGCACTCACAGCACAGTACCGCATCCTCAGGCAGCAAACCTGCCTTCCCTGCTCACGAGCAAAAGGGGCCCGACAACTGGGGTTTCACCCAGGAAATGCCCAGGGAAGGCACATTCCAAGGTGACATTAAAGAATAATAAAAAGGAAAATATAAAGAAAGAAGAAAGTAGAAAACACGTGAAGCCCCCAAGGCTGGCTGGTTAGAATGGGTTAGAATCAGGCCTAGAGAATCACCCAGTGTCTCAGCAGATCCCAAACTCTAGGGTAAAAGATGTGGGCATTTCTATCTATGGAAACAAGATGTTTCCTTCTTTTACCACTTTCTCTCTTATTTCTTTATTTTTGGGTGGTCCATCACTCAAACTTGGACCATCCATCACTTTGACCTGCCTAGCACTGTCATCTTTCCAGAGTCAAAGATAAACAAATATGGGGTCCACAAAGCCTCTTTCCCAGCCTGTTCCCAGCAACCTTTCTCTCCCAGGGTTCCGGAGTGCTCAGAGCAGACACTGTCAGCACGACATGCCGCACACAGCAAATCACCAAACCACACTGCGTTCAAGGGGGTCAGGCTTGCGGGTGGGGCAGAGGGAGGACTTACTTGTACTTGTGCTGGTTCCAATCGTGTTGATCGTGGTGGGGACGGAGGAGGAGGAGTAGAGGGGCACGTGGCCGTTCTCACACCCCAGGCTTTTGTCCTGCCAGTTGGAGGCGTTGATGCAAATCCCAGAATCCCGAGAGTTCTGCCACCCATTGAGCTTGTCATCGGAGTTCTGTCTTTGGTGATAGTAGTGTGACTGCCCGTAATCCACAGAGTCCGAGCGGCCTCGGTTCTGGCCGCTGAAGCTGGTCGACGTGCGGTCCTCCAGGTGATTCAGCCACATGGCCAGAGCACTGCGATCTTCCAGCGAAGTGGCCGGGTGGATCAGAGCGTAGGACAGCAGCTGCCTGCTCTCCTCGATGTGCTGGTTGTGTTCGATGGAGTGTGCCAGGATCTTGGGCAGCAGCTTCATATACTCCACTTTCGCGTCGAGGTTTCCTGGCTTCAGCAAAGGCAGGTGAGTTAACAGGAGGGAAATCACTTTATCCTTGGATTCCTGTTGCCATTGGTTAATGATTCCTGCAAAGGAAAACAGAGAGGGCAAATGAGCAAACACACCCACAACGACCCTAAACAGCACACTCTCTAAGTTTAGGAAATCTGTGGCTCAGAGTCCCAGTCTATGGACCCTGGCTAAATTTTTTCAAAATGCCCTTCGCCCTAGATTGGTTAATTGACCTCAGGATTTTAGGGGCTGAGGACTTCAAAGAAACACAAATCAAAAATTCTTATCCTTTATCTAAATCTCATTCAGATCTTCAAAGAGGCTACACCTATTTCCACCCAGCCAAATAGAGTTTGGAGTCCTGCTCTGCCTCTCAGGAAAGCCTCACCCTCTCCCTATAGACGATGGGCCAAGACTAAGAACAGCCAGTGTAGTTACGGGTCCACGCAACAGTCTTGGGGTGAGGCTGCCTCTCCACCCCAAATGCCTGCTGAGAAGCCCTTAAAATGCTGGCAAAAGAATTTGTATGAAACTGATGAAAGTGCCCACGTTGAGAAATTTGTCAGGAAAAAAAGGACCCCCCACCACCACCACCCCAGTCTCCATGCAGTAAGTCTGCAGCTTTCTCATATGACACAGACCAGAAAAAGGACCCGGGCCTCCAGGCTGAAGTGAGCCATGGATCTGGGCCTCGGCTTCTGGGACATCTCTCATTGCATATGCTAAGTATGCCCTTTCTCATTAGTGAGGCTCTGTTTTTATTTTGGCAAAATATACATAAAATAACCATTTTCAGTGTATAGCTCAGGGTTAAGTGCATTTACAGAGATATGCATCCATCTTCAAAACTTTATCACAACCCCAAACAGACACTCCAGCCTCACTGGAAATGAAATCCCATCATCCCCCGCTCCCCACTCGCCCTGCCCCTGCCCAAGCTGCCGTGTTGGTTTTTGGCTCCATGAACTGACTACTGTGGGTATCACAGGTGAGTGGAGTCAGGGCATTTGTCCCTGTGACTGCCTTACTTCACCAACCGTGACATCCTCAAGGCTCATCTGTGTGGACATCTTCTTTTCACACACTCACAAGGATCCCTTCTGCCCCTCTTACTCAAAACACAGACAATGCCCTTTGCTTATTGGCTTCTGAGAAGTGGCTGATTGCAGAGCTTGACGATTCTCCAAAAGGGCTGGGCAGGCTTTAAGCAGTATGTGCAGGGTTGCAAGGGGTTCCCATGACCAGAAGCTACAAATGCTCCTGGGAGGTGGTGGAAACACTGAAGAAGTGGGGAGTCTAGTAGGAGATTTTCTGGTCAAGGAGCACGACCTTGACTGAAAGAGATAGCAGAACCATCCCTTCTTCCTCTCTCTTTTTGTTTCTTGGTTGCCAGGCCCCAAAACAGCAAGCCCAACTGACATGGACAGAAACCTCCTAAATCAGGGCCAAAATAAACCTTTCCTCTTTTGAAGTTCATCACCTCTGGTATTTTGTTACAGGAATGGAATGCAGACTAACAATTGACAAGGAAGGGATGGTGTCTAATGAAGGAGCATGGGCTTTGAAGTCGGGCAAACCTGGGCAAGTATCCCAGAACTGTCACTTAATTTGTGGTGGGACCTTGGTAAATTACTTAACCTCTCAGAGCCCCAACTGCCTCATCTGCCAAGAGTGGTCTGAACAGCATGTGCTGCTCCTAATGCTCTTGGATTAAATGAGATCAAAGTAGAAAAAGGACTGTTTAAGGGCTTGAAGGTGGAAGCGATTCCTTCTACTTGTCTCTGCAGACCCACAGGAGAGTGACGTGAGTGGGCTTGGACCCTGAGTTTCAAAAATAATAGAGACTAGAGACAACCTAGGGAAAATCATTAAAGAAAATCAAACTGGAAAAGAGGCAGAGAGGAAAGAGGTGAAAGGAAATGGAGTTATCGAGAGTATAACAATATGAAGAGATGCTCGGCTGTCCTCAAATGGAGTGTCACAAGGGGTGGCTAAAGGGTTGAAACTGGGGATGTTAGGACAGGATGTGGGGAAGAAGCGGACTGTCAGAGCCAGAAGAGCTCGGAGGCAGGAACCCATTTCCTGGTCATTTGAGGCCTATAGCCAGGCGATGACGAGCAGCACAGTTCAACAGCACTATAATGTGAGCTACCTATGGAAGGCTAAGCTTTCTAGCAAACCACACCAAAGAAGAGTCAAGTTAATGTGGCCAACAACTTTAGCGCTATATTTGGCTTAATCCAATATATCAAAGTATCCGCTCAACACAGAGTCAATATAAAATCATTAGGGAGACATTTTACCTCCTTTGGTTTTGTGTTATGTCTCTGAGAACCGGGGTGTATTGAGACCTAGCCACAGCTGCCGCTGTTGGAAGCCACCTGTGGCTGGCGGCTCCCGAGCTAGCCAGCACAGGCTGGAGATGTTCAGATGCGAAGGCGGGCTAGGGCAGATGACCTCAGAGGTCCCTCCCAGCTGTGGACTCTATATTTAGCTGACTGCCACCTGACACAAGACAACCCTCCTGCGTTCCACTAGGTATGGCCTCCTTTTAAAAGCAGTGCTGGGAGACGCAGCAAACAGGGCTAATATCATCTATACATCACTGACACGCACCAAGCGTGTTTTAATGGAGGAATGTGCTTAGGATGAAGACACAATCTATTCAGGGAGCCCAAGGATCTTGAGAGGCCCTGGGAAAAAGCAAAGGGGGCTGAGAGGATTGGAAGATGGTGTCATAGGCCAATGCTCTGTGGAGCTGCTGCGTGGAGGTGCTAGGGGACCCCCTGAATATGCACATTTAATAATGGTGTTTGGGAACCACCTTCAGTAAAAACACACAAGGCTAAAGGCCTCCCTAGCTTTCTGCTAGGTCATTTCCTTGTTTGGATATTCTATCCCTCTGCAAAAGGTCAGTCTAAAAACAAAAACAAACTCAGGAACAAAAACAAAATGTAAATAGGACCCAGAGTGCAAACTAAACAGGTTATCTCTGCGGGACTGCTCCTGCCAGGGGTTAACCTGGGGTTCAGAGGAGGAACAAGCACAGCAGGGAGAGCAAAAGTCGGAGGCTTTGGGGCTGTGGCTCGGACAGGGAGACAACCGCAGGTTTGTCTGCTCCTTCTGGGAGGTGGAAATGAGGCTGCATTCTGAGGCTCAGCACCCGGCTAGATCGAACCATTCCTGCTACCACTGTAGCTGTACCACTGGCAAAAGCAAAAGGCACTGACTGTTTTCTATGTGCTGGGGACTCTTGGAAGCCTTGTGCATTTAACAGCTCATTTAATCCTCCCAAGAAGCTTGTGAGGCAGGTCCTGGCACCAGTCTTACTTTATAGATGAGGACAGAGGCGCCCAGATGGGGCAAGTTGCTTCCCTCAGGTCCCCTGGGCAGCAAGGTGACACAGTGGAAGTGGCACATTAGTTTAAAGACACCTAGTGGTTATCACGCTGATGGCCTGGCCATAAGCTAAATGTATTACTATTTCTATTATATATCTTAACTGTGTGCAAATTATAGTTGTGAATACAGTAATATAAATATATTAGGGAGTACATGGTCTTGCAGAGGAATTGGCCAGCCATGGAAAAGGAGAGAAAAGAACTTATGGAGACATTATCCAGCTTGTTCAATGTGCAGCCTGAGGAATGCTCTCCCTCCTTTTAAAATATTACTATAAAATACCAATGTGTTACATATACACACTAACTATATATTTGACAAGTGGCCCAACTCAATTCCTCTTCACCACAGCAGCCCATGCAAGCCCAAAGGTTGGACACCCACGATTAAATTATACTTTTCGTGGTTTTAAAATATGCCCATAATTTCTTTGGCACCCGTCTCTTTGAAAGGTAGAGGCTCATTCTTTGCAGCGCAGCCCCTCATGTATGCTGGGCAAGTGCTCTACCACTGAGCTCCACCCCCAGCCCCATTCATTCCCTTCCTTGGAGTACAGGTTGGATTTACTGGGTCATTTCCAGCACAGAGAGCATGCTGGGAATGGCAGTGTGTAGCTGCATGGATCGAGTAATAAAAGGCTCTGCAGCTTCTGCCTTGCTTTCTCTCCGATCACTCCCTGCGGGGGCAGACAGCTGCCATGTTGACAGGGGACCCAAGCTGCTTGACGGCAAGCAACCAAGACCTCCTGCCTACAGCCAGCACCAACCCAGGAGCCCCACGAGGAACACCCAGAGAAGAGGCTGAGGGACTCTGAGTCAGAGTCACTCGGATTCCTGACCCACAGAAACTGCGTCTGACTATGTACCTACTGTTTTTAGCTGCTAAATTCTGAGTAATTTGTTATGTGGCCAAAGATAACAAAGGCACTACCAAAGAAAAAGGAAGTTTTGGCCATCTAGCTTTGAGCAGTTTGGTCCTTCCGGACCAAAGTCCTTCCATCTGGACAGAGAGCCAGGAAGCTGACCCGTGGCCACTAACCAGTCCCCTCACCCAGCCTCCCTGTCCGGATTACCCCCTCCCCAGCAGCCTCTAGACCTGCGTTAGAGGATGTGCTGACCATGGACCTGAGCTATTTCCAGATTCCAGAGTGGTGATTTTTCAGGGCTACTTAATAAATGCCTTCTGATTATGATTTGGCTTCCCGTGGAGGCCTGCCTACTGGCAGAGCGTGTGCTGATTATGTGGACTTGGTGTATGTGTGTTCTCTCTGAAGATAGCTCCTTGTGGCAAATTAGCAAGCCAGTCGTCCCTGCTTTCCGGTTAACATGGAGTCAGCCTTTTAGGATGAGCTGTCCTTGGGCACTGCTGAGTGTGAGCACTTCTGCTTCCAAACAGAGGCCAGATCCTCCATGCAGGGACTTGGGCCATAATGGCTTGGTCCTGCCACATACCCACTGGCTGCCTCTACTGTATTCACTCTACTTCTAGACAGCAGGGAATCTTTGCTGAAATTTCTCTTCCTTGGAGAAAACCCAGGAATCCTCATATTTCTCAAACAATCGATCACTTCTGAGATGCAGTCTCACCCATCACCCACCCCAATATCACCTCGTCAGAAAATAGCACGCAAAACTGAGGTCCTAAACCTGTAAGGTTTGATGACATGAGCTCG